TTTTAATGATATAACTTGTTATATTTGTAAATACAATCATGCAGCTTTAATTCTCCGGATTTCTTAGCATATCATTTTTTGCCTTTCTTGACGTCATTAGGGATGGATGCATCACTTATCTATTACAGAAAAAGTATTTAGAACCATAATTGTTTTCAAGAACCCAAAATAATTCATATAGTGTCCCACAGTGGAGGCCTCATCGTGCATATGTATGTCATGTAATCATATATCAGTGAATAAGCACTCTCCCTCACATTCTTGTCAGAATAACTTTTTTTCTTCTCTTCTTTTTTCATTTTTAAATTTTAAAATTTTGACAAATAGACTTGCCTAATAATATATATCAAATGACAGTAGTAAGAGATGTAATTAGAAGGCTGTGATTGGTGGGCTTTGCCTAGAGTTCTGTAAATTCAAAACAAAAATCAAAATGCATGTGGTATCTCCATCGAAAACAAACCTGATTCAACTCCACTGAAAATCTACACGATCAACACACTGTAATACCACTAAAATCTCCGACGAAATCTCCAACGAAATCTACACGATCGTAGCAATCTTTCTCGTCAACTCCACTGAAATCTCCGACGAAATCTCCACCATAAAATCTCCGACGAAAACTCCGACAAAATCTCCAATTCAAATTCGGATTCCAAAATCTATCAGTTAAGTCAACAATATAATATTCAAACAAATTTATGTTATAAAGGAAGGGTAATTTAGGTACTTTATAACCTAAAATAAATTTGAGGGATCTTAGCCATCAAAACATATTATAAAGGACCTCTCCTCCTACCAAAAGTAAAGGAGGGACCTTAGGCCAATTTTCCCTAAAATTATACTATGAAAGTAATAAGGATTTTTTTATTTTTTTATAAAATTAATTTCTTTTAAAATAATTTTTTCAAAACCAATTCAAACATGCCTTCATCAACGCCAATCTCTGTTTGCTCTTCCAAACATTAAAAATTAAAAATATTCATTTTTATATGATGATGAATTCTTTTGGGGGCAAAAATAAATTTTGAAAATTTTAAAATATCATTTTTATGTTTTTTTCTTTTTGTTAAAAAATAAATCAAAAACAAATACTAAAAACGAAACCAAAACACTTTTTGTCATTTGGTCCTTGAATTGTCATCTCTATTTACTCCTTGTGCCTAATAAGGTGGCTAATTTAAATGTGTGACGACTTTCTAATGAGGACACTTCACCCATCAAAAGCACCTATACGATTGACAACCAAAAAAAAAGTATTTATGTTAAAAATTAAAAGATATCAAAAAATATATATATATTTTTTATACATTTCTTCACATTAACAAATATCAAAAGATATTTGGAGAACAAATATCATTTCTTGTAACAAATTCTTCACACATCACTAAAGTGTAGAAAATAAGTCTAAAAAGTAAGTTTGTATATCATTTTCTTATATTATTTAATTTTGTTAATACTGCAATGTAATTAAGTTTAGTTGTTCTTAGAATGCGAAATATACTGTATATATCTAACACATTTCTAAATTCTAAAGAGACAGCTATTTAAAAGTTAATAGTAAATTTAGTGAACATATGTGACCTCAGACAAAATTGTAACATTTATCACTTTTTATGAAAATTGTAAATTAACACTTTGCTTGGTTACACTTTTTCAAAAATACTTTTCAAAAAATTTTACTTTTTTTTTTGTTTTTACTGAATTTTTTTAATATTTTAAGTAAATTTTTTTACTTTTTAAGTATATTTATCTAAAAAGTAAAAAATTTGTGAAAAAATCTTTTAAAAATTCACTAAATACCAAAAATATAAAAAAAATTACGAGAATTCAGTACATTTTTTGTATTTTCATGTATTTATTAATTTTTTAAAATAATTTTTCACAAAATTTTTATTTTTAAAAAAAAATATTTAAAATTTTAAAAATATTCACTAAAAACAAAAAAAAAATACGAAAACAAAAAAACTCAATTTTCAAAAAACTTAATCCAAAAAACTCAAACCAAACTTAATTCAAAAAAACTCAAACCAAACACACTGAATATTACTTTTATAAAATATTTACAAATTCATGAAAAAAAAAACTTATAACCTAATTATTAAAATTGATAAAATTTTCGATTTGCAATATTTTTTAAAAACATGCATTGAAGTGCTATTTTCTCAATTTTTAATAGGCACACTTAATTGTTTTTCTTGTTGTGTGCCTCTTCTTTCCTTTCTCTCTACAAATCTTCACTTTGCCCGTTTTCCTTCTTTACCTAGCTACTAACAACCAACCATTGTCCACCGTCAAAAACCACCACATTCCACCCATTGACCACCGTCCCTCCCTTCCTACTTTTACCACCAGTCTCTCACCAACATCTAATATCGTGACCTTCTTTCTCTTTCCCCCTCGTGTTTTTATCTTTCTTCTCATTCTTTTTTGTATTCCTAATCCAACCACAGTTTCTATTACATTCTACTTCCTTCGAGTGGCTTAACCTCTAATGTGAATCTCAATCTCAATGCCTCTCTCATAGCCGCTCTCCTCAACCTACTTGACTATATAGAAATTTTATCCGTTAAGCTCACTCTCTCCCACCCCCCACTTCGAAATCCCTCTTCACAAGAACCAAATCAAGAAATTCTACGAAACAAATCACCTAAAATAAGACATTACCCACTTTGTATCAAATCTATGAAATCTCTTAATATTCACAAGTCACTTGTTACAAAAATTAAACCCAAAAATCAAAGACAGATACATCAGACAAGGATTCGGCATGGGTTGAGGATGGTAACTAGAGGGGGAGGGATTGGGTAGAGGCTCAGACGGCCTTTGGGCAGTGAGGGAAGGAAAGGAAGGGAATATCAACAATCATGACAAACATAGAGGGTTCGCCGTGGATGAGAGAAGTTCGGATTTGACAAAGAAAAGAGTGATAGAGGAAACAAATGGAGGGTCGAAGAATCAGATGTGGTAGAGTGCGAAGTTTTTTTGGTGAGATCTACAATTTTGGTGTGGTGTCATTTAGTCATTGGTTGTCCCGCAAACTGAGGTTCGCAGGACAGCCATGTATAAATTTGAATACTTCCTAAAAGCACCACACAATTACCCCTATAAACTTCTCACATTTCTAAGAAGACTTCCCACTTAATTCTAAAAGGAGTAGGGAGAGGCAATGATAAGATTATCCGATCAAATTAATAAACTTTCTTAGTATAGGCTCTATAAAGAGAAATTAGCAATGAGGAAAAAATGCATTTAAGACGAACTCATGAGATAATTAGATTATGAAAAAAATATTGTCTGTAATCATCTTAGTAATCTATGATACACTTGACAATGAGCATAGTACATATGTAATTTTGTATAGCAAGTTCCAATTCTACTTTCGAAAAGTAAATAAATAAATAAAAAACAAAAAAATAAAAAGAAAGAGAGATAAATGCACCGAAGCCTTTGAACGTTTTTCTTAAATTGTGTTTCAATTTTGAATTAGTACAATGATTTATTTTCTCCAAAAAAAAAAAAAAAAGTATAATGATTTTATATAAGATAGATATAGGGAGAACTTTTTTTCATTTTCTTTTTCCTCCGCAAATTTTCCACAAATCCAAAATCCAAATATACCTTTAATATGATCACACTGCAAGAAGAAACAGTTTGTTTCACATTATGCAAACATGTTCACTTTCAGGTTTTCAATTGTCAATAGAAAATTTTTCCATTTAGGGAAAAAAAGAAAAAAAAAAAAGAAAAGTAAAACCTGTGTACACAATTGACCTTGAGAATGAACTCATATAAGCAAACAGATACAAATAAGTACCCAAAATTGGAGAGCAAAAAGGGAAATACAAATCAAACGTTTAATTCTCATTCTTGAGTTGCTCCATCTGGGGTTGCATCCATAGGCTCGGCGTCTGCTGACTCCTCAGCTTTGTCACCCTTCTTACCTGCAAAATTCAGACGATTAGGGTTATATAAGAAACCAATATATAATTCCATTTTGCTTGAAATGTCGTTTCCAAACAAAAAGGAAATAATCAACACTGGATGATTTGGATTGTGAAGGTAATGATTTGCCAATACTGGATAACTACAACTGCAACATACCTTTCTTCTTCTTTCCACCACCTTTCTTCTTTGACTTTGTGCCCAAAGCTAACCAGGCTTTGATTTCAGGATCATCTATGGTTTTAGTAGGTTGAAGCTCCTGCAGAGGATGGGATGTTATGCGATCCGACCCATTTGGCATTAGCAGAACAGTGAATTTGATATGAGCAACATAATCCCCTGCCCAACAAACCAATTATTCAACATAATTAGAACAAAATATACACAAGATTGAAAACCCAATTTAGAAAAAAATATACACACGAGATTGATAACCCAACTGAACACTACACAAGCATAAAAACTATGATACATGGTACAAGCATAGGGTGCAAGTTCATATCTAGAGATTGGGCCCATCAAACCTCAAATTTTAGCATATGTGAACTAGGCAAAAAATTGACATATATATATTTATTAGTATATTATGTGAGGTAAAATGATAATATGTGTAACATATCAAAAACATTTAACTCATTTTATAGCAATTATACAACAATATATATGATAGTGTTAAATACAAACATATAAGAAGTGTCCGATGAAAAGTATCAAACATATTCCACACCCTTATTCAAGTGTAGATTATCCGACACGGGTATTTGATTTTATTTTGTAGAGTCCATGAATATAGCATCGAAGCTCACTAGCAATGTGCAAATCAGCTAAAATTCAGCAGATTTCAGTCCTGTCAGACATTTCTTACCAGGCTTCTCATGAAGAACAGGATATGGTTGCAACAGATCATGATTGACGCATTCTACCAATCCGAACCGAGCACGCTTCTCTTCCAAAGCCCTGCCATTTATAAAATTTGAACACATTATTAGGTCATAGCGCAAAAGACAAATGACCAAAAAACAAACATGTGTTTAACAAACCTAGCTGTAAATGGCATGATGGGAAATTTCTGGCTTATTTCACTGAATATGAACCTAGAAGCTTTCATTTTCAAGTGATAGTTCTTATCAACAGCTCTTTTGTAAATAGTTGTCTGTCTCTCGTCTAAGAGCTTAGGCTGCAAATTCAACACCAACATACTAAGGACCAGGAGCAAGAGAACAATTACAATAATATGCAACACTATACAAAGTTGCCATAATTACCTTGCCTTCACCTGTGCTTGTGACTATATCAATTGCATAAACTTCATTCTCCTCAAACTCAGCATCATCAACTCTTGTCTCGGGATTCGAGACACTCAGTACAACCTTGTTTCCATCAATCACAAACTGTTTCAGTTGGTGACTGAGGACACCTTCAACAATTTTGCAGTCATAGGCAGCAGCAACCTTCTGGATTGCTTCTGTCACATCTTTGTTCTGTCACAAACGAAGAGATTTAATTAGTGAACAAGTTAAAGGGTATCATAAAAGCATATCAGAATTAAGTCTAACCAAAAATGAGCTGAATGATAAGAACTTGGCATAGAAACCCACATGAACCCACAGTTTAGTCAATTAATGGTGATTTCAAATTAATTTGCCCTATCAGAGTAACTATGACAAAAGCCTCATTTGGAAGGTCCTTCCATAGCTTCTGAAAAGTATTCATCATATAGAGGCATCAGACTGTCCTGTTCAGATGTGTACGGAAATATTCAACAATGCAAGGTGACATCATAATGGCATTCCTAATGGTCATCATATGATAAATTCACTCTTCATACAGGTCAACCACAGCATGTCACAAAAGCCTTGATAAGCCAAGTGTCTTCACAATTAACACGAGTGGCTACAATGAAATGTTTTTGGTAAAAAATAAGGATCAATCAACTCTAACTCGGCAATATATATGGCAAGGATTGAAGTTCACATCTGACTACATGTAAAAGAAAAAGGTCACAAATAATAAAACTGTGCAACAAATACAATTATTTTCTACCTAAAACAATTCCACATCAACCAATTGAACCTGTGTTGCATTAATATTTTTACTAACATTAAACAGCAAAAAGCCACATAAATGAAGATTTCTTTCCACATACACACAGAAGGCTAACAATGCAGAGAGTGACAAAGTAAACACGATTCTCTATCAGTGTAACTATGACTGAAAAAAGCTTCACAGGAGATAAATCCATAGCCTTTGACTATCCTCTTCATATAGAGAAATCATGTCTACCCTTCAAAAAATAAGAATCTCAAACAGAATTAAAAAGGAATACAATTCACTATCATGTCCACAGTTCAATAAATAAGAATAACAAACAAACAAATTTAAAGGGAAAAAAAATCAACTTCACCATTTGAAGAACTGAAAAGAAGATTCAAGATTGTCTGTGACTTAACCAAATAAAACAACCTGGTGGAATTAGCAACAAAAATAAATATCTTCAAGAAAGAAAAAGCACTTCCTGAACCCATTGAAGTGAGCAGGCCGTCAAACCTACAAACAGCCCTATCTAAGCTTTTCTCAATAATGTACAAGATTTTGGCTCACCTGGGAATTTAGGCATCAGCAATATAGAATAAAGATCAACCTAAAGTAACCCAAGTATGGCCGAGCAGAATATGGGCAACAGGGAAAAAGAGGAAATCAACGAATGATCGATTACCTCGGCAAAGTTGCCTCCTTTACAGGTTTCATGCAAGAATCTATCAATAGTACATTATATACACAGGTAAATTTCACAATTTGGAGAGCCAAAAAGCAAATCCAAGAGATAGTCTGTAACTTAACAAATAAACCAACTTCGTGAAATTATCAATAAAAATAAATACCTTCAAGATAAAAAAAAAGGACTTCCTGAACCCATCCATTGATGTGAGCAGGCCATCAAACCTCCGAACAGCTCTATATAAATTTTTCTCATTGATTACAGGTTTGACGCGAGAATCTATCACTATTACATTATATACTCAGGTAAATTTCACAATTTGGAGAGACAAAAAGCAAATCCAAGAGACAGTCTGTGACTTAACCAAATAAACCAACTTGGTGAAATTAACAATAAAAATAAATACCTTCAAGAAAAAAAAAAAAAGGACTTCCTGAACCCATCCATTGATGTGAGCAGGCCATCAAACCTCCGAACAGCTCTATATAAATTTTTCTCATTGATTTAAAAGAATTTGGCTCATGTGGGAATTTAGGCATCAGCAATATAGAATAAAGATCAGCCTAGAGTAACCCGAGTATGGCCATGCACAATTTAGGCAACAGGGAAAAGAGGGAATCAACAAGTGATCGATCACCTCGGCAAAGTCGCCTCTTTTACAGGTTTCATGCAAGATTCTATCACTATTACATTGTCCACAGGTAGTTATCTGATTTCAAAATATTCTTACCATGTTACAGTTGAGCACTTCTTACATTTTCTACCTTTACAAGATCTGATAGCTTATCCAATATACCTTTGATACAATGAGTTATTACGTATGCTAGTTATTACGTATGCTGATAGGTTACAATAACAAAATGAGAATGAACTCGTCATTTGTGGTGCCTTTATGCATGAAATAATATCATAGACAACATCAAGAAAAATAAACATAAAACGAAGTAAAGAAAACCTGAGACTTGAAAGATTAAAAGGAAAAAGTGCAAAGTCTTGGACACCAAAAGCAACTTCAAAGACACTCTTGAAGAAAATTCAATGAAACATGTTTCACTCATTATTGGAACTTTTGAAGATGGAAAGTAGGCCAAAGGTACACATTTTACTATGATCAGCATTTTTAGTAAATGACTAGATCTATATTTAGGGTGACCAACTATAGACGACGTGGATATCAGTTCACTTGGTGAATCTTTAGACAATAACATGATGACAATGCTACATTCACCCAATATAGATCATGTCATTCTTGGTGCACGAGTCGCAACATAAAAAAAATTACAAAAACGATTCAAGTGGTGTACGAGTCGCAACATAAAACAAATTACAAAAACCATTCAAGTTCTGCTAAGTAGAGATAAGTCACCAAAGAATTTTATTCTAAGTAGTTTAAAAATTTTGTCCCTATCGGAGTAACTATGACAAACAGCTTCATTTGGATGTTAGCCCATAGCTTGTTCAGATTATTCATCATTTAGGGGAAGACAGTAAATATATAAGCATAATAAGACACGCACACACCAACACACAAACATCTCAATTTCACAATCCAAATTGAGTAACAAATCCCCAACACCGATACAACTCTATCTTGTGAAGGAAACCAACTAACAAAATCATCATTCAAATCTAAAATTCTTTCATGACAAGAGGCTCATGTTATGTTGCATTTTCAACACAATATGTCATACGTGCCACCTTGATGCCTGAGAAAGCCAGTCATGAATAATGAATCGATGACAATTGCAACTGTCATAACACATCCACATATACAGTTTTACACATTTATCTATCAGTATAACTATGGCCAAAGATTCACTTGGATCTTGCTCCACAGTTCTTATCTAGGAAGCACAAATATGAACATGGACGCGGATAAGGACACAGGACATAGGGATTTAAAATAATATAAAAAACGACAGACACAAGCATATGGCAAAAAAATTATTTTTATGAAAGGCATTGGATCATAGCTTAATTGCAAAGCCATCCATATATGAAAGGCATAACAATGTTCACCCCCAAAAAGACAAAATATCTACAATACGAAGCTATGATCCAATAAAAAACATACATTCTATGAAAACAAAACCACACAGTTACTCGAAAATTCATTTATCCAAACAGATTTCATTGATATATAAAATGAGGAACCACCAACTCCCATCATTCAAAATTACGCTTGCATCTGCATCGTGTCAGGTTAAAGCGAAAACAAAAGTTAGGACTGCAAAAAAATTACCTTTTTTCCTGGCCTTACAAGCCTCAAAGCAACCTCAGCAGCAGTATTTGCAGCAGCAATAACATCTGCTTGCCTACCGGTCACTGGTCCTTGCTGAATGACATAGGTGTGTGCAACTTCAGCAATGAAACCATCTATGTGGCACCCCATGGCACTGCATCCAAACAAGAGCACATCAATATTCACTCACAGCAGGAACTACACAACCAATAAATATATACATTTTTTGGGTACATTGGAAGAGAAAAAAAAAAACTGTTTGTGTGCGAGCTTAATGCTGCTTCGAGGTAACTTACATCTTTAAGATATCACCTTCTTCCAACACAGTCTCATCGCTCGCAAGTGGAGAGAAATGGCAAACAGTGTTGTTTACAGAGATACATGTTGGGAATGCAACACCCCTTTCAATCTTCTTCTTCACATTCTTGTACATATTGCCAGTTTGTCTTTACACATCATACACATTTGCAACAAATTTAGTATATCAACAGAGCCCAAAAACTTGAATCTAATACATATCTATATAATTACATATATAGATAAAGAACTTACTCTCTGATGAATGAATCGCCTTTCTCACAGATATCAACAATCTTAGCCTTTGGTTTGCATTCTGATATTAACAACTGCAAAGCCTCTGCACATTTTAAAAAATTCAATAAATTTGTCAAACTGGGCCATCAACAAAAGATGCAAACTTTAAACTACAGATATGAACAAGTCCTCGAAATCTACATTTTTCCATGCCCTTTTTTTCAAAAGATGCAAATTTTAAACTACATACATAACAGACAAATATATATATATATATAGAGAGAGAGAGAGAGAGTAACTGTTAACGATCTCGGCGGCACTCTTGTACTTGGTGACGACTTCAGGAGAGGAGAGATCCAACTCCTTCTCTTCCCTTTCATCGTCCGACATCGCTTCGAGCTCGAGAAATCCCTGAAACTGCGATGATAAAAACAAAAACAAAAACAAAAAACCCAGAAACAGTAGCTCAAATAAAAAACTTGAGTCTATTAGAGACCTAAACACGATTCAAAACGCAAACATAAACATAAACACAAACAAAACTCACCAGAAAATTGGCAGGCGATGGATTAGAGATAGAGAGAGAGAGTGAGTGAGCTAGCGAGCTAGGGTTTTAGCCAGAAAAGGGTTTCAACAACCTAGCAAGCAAGGTAGGTTGGGCGGTGGCTCTTGCTCAGGCACTGCTGTGTTTATATACAGAGAGGATTTGCGTTACAGGCTTTGGGTTAGGGTTTTGCTTTATTTTATTTGTTCTTTCCTTTTTTGCCTTTTTTTATTATTATTTTTTTTTAAGAGTTTTTTTTTTTTTTTTAAGAGGGGGGGAATTATTTATTATTATTATTTTTTAACCCGTGTATTGGGATAAAAAAAATACTTGGACCTCTAATTAGAGGTGCCATTAGTGATGTGGCAGCACCCACTGTCACATCAGTGCTGTGTCTTGAATTTATTTTTTATTTTATTTTATTTTTTTTGCCTTTTCCACCTCAGATGTGTTAGAGCCTCCAAATTAGAGGTATCTAGCATTGTCCATTGGGATAGATACCAAATAAATGAAAATTATGCTGTTGTGATAAGGGATGACAATTTAAACTCGGTTTAAAGGGGATTTGACCTTTTAATTTGAGTGATTTTTTAAAAAAAAATATCTTTAACGAGATGGCAATAGTATTTAAAAATTAATTCTTAATCAATTTCGAGTTGGGGATAGGGATAAGTGTTCTAGCCCCATACCTAGTTCGTCTCCGTCCCAATCCCTATTAATCCCCGAAGTGATATTACCATTTTACCCCTCTATATATATACATAAAAACCAAACCCTCCTCACACAGACTCATCTCATCTCCCTGACTCCCTCCCTCCATCTCTTCTTCTCCCTCCTTCACTCAGATTTCTCTCTCACTTCTCATCATCATCATCATCCAGACCCACCACCGTAAAGCCACCGATCTAAACTGTAAATCCACCAATCTAACAGATCGTGGTCTGTGAACCGTCAAGCCACCGATCTGAACAACTCTCTCTATATATATATATATATGTGTGTGTGTACCTATTGTTGTTGATGAACAAATATTTTTTTTTTTTTCTAAGTTGATAAGTTGATGATTGTTGTTCATATATAAATTATATTTTTTGATGATTGTTGTTGATGAACAAATCTGTCCAAATCTATTGTTGATGAACAAATCTGTTGTTCTAGATCTGTTGTTGATGAACAAATCTGTCCATAAACAGATTAAATTTTTTTTTTTTTTGGTTGCTCTTGTATGTGTGTTGAACAGATTGGTCGGGGAATTTACGGGGTCAGGGAAACCCGATCCCCGTTAGGGGACGGGGGTGGGGGTGGTGAGAGACTCCCCGTCAGGGATCGGGACCGGGGACGGGGAAATTCCTACCTTCGGGGATCGGGGACGGGGAGTGTGATCCCCGGCCCCGCCCCACATCCCATCCCATCCCATTGTCATTCCTAGCTGTGACATGTTTTTATTTTTATTTGCTTGATTTTTCTTGTACATTTATTCAAAGTCGCTAGAGTACAAAATATTTTTTTTCTTTTTTTCCCGTCATTTATAAATTCAAGATACAAATACATTTTCACAAAATCTATAAGATTATAATAATAAATTTTTTATACCTATATGTGATTTTAGTAATATAGAAGTTATTACCGTTTAAATTAGATTTGTTTCCGATCGTCTATAAAGACAATCTAGTTTTGGATTTATTATATATTTATTGTGCGAACATGGATTTTGCATGTTAGAATAAGTTGGAGCTCTGCAATCGAACTGGTTGTCTATAAACTGAGATTTGTAAGGACAATAAACAGTAAAAGTTGCTTGGCTGAGATTGGTCAAAAAATCCCTCCAATAATAAAAGTCAACGACTTAGGGAGAAGGAATAAAGCGAAGGAGAGAGAATTTGATTAGCATACAGGCCTACAGGCCCATTTCTTCTTTTGTATGAGTCGATCTCAAAGCCATGACATTCTTTACAAAACAATGCTCTTCCAAGAGCTTTCTTTGATATTCAGTTGAGCTACTCCAGCTTGGTCAAGCTATGACCTGAGCCTAAGTCAACACATTAGTCTAAACAAGTCGCCTCATTTCTGAATGTGTTCGGTCTACGTGTACCTTAACCCAACTTGTCTTCGATACACAATAATGTTCTTCCGAGAAGAGTTTCCTTTGATGTCTAGCCGAGCTACCTCTTCTAGCTCGGCCAAGCTACGCCTTGAGCCTTAACCAATGAGTTTATCTGAGTAGACCACTCTAGATTGAGTGTGTTCGATCTTGTCTCTAAATATAGTCAGTCAAGTGAGGATGAAGCAAAAGACTTACTGCGTTATCTACACATTTTTGTGGTAAAGTTAAGCAAACTACCTAAATATACTTAATGTCTTTCTTGTTGGAGATGTTATTACGTTCACATAACTCCTTATTATTTAGAAATAAATACTTAATTCCTTTGATTTATGGCTTAAAATGAACCATCATAATTTTTTATTCAAATAAATAAAAAATGCATTGCATGTGCCTATATTTCTAAAATAGTTGATGATTATTTGTACACAACTTATTCCACGCGATAAAATAAAAGATTCAGTTCAAGAGAGCTGAAAAACACTAAGGTATTTATGTCAATTTACTTATTTGTTTATAATCCTATTTTAAAATGGCCCTCCAAAGTTTGAGTAATTAACGCTCCATTTATTAACTTTTTTCAATTTAAGTAAATATTTTCTATGTTTGGTGGTGGTGATGAAACAAAGATATGGATGTGGTGGCATGGTGGTGGGGCAACGGTGGCAAGGGTAATAGCAACGGTGATGATGGCAATGGTTGTGTGGTGGAGGTAAGAGTAGCGGTAATAGTGTGGTGACATTGGTGAGATTTTAGTTTGGAAAACGTTTTCTGCATTTTAAAAGTAGAAAGCATTTTATATTCATATGGGCTTGTTTTCTGTTGATTATGGAAAATATTTTCTGAGAGGGTAATTTTTGGTGAAAATTGGGGCGAGCTATGAGATGGACTTTATGGCCCAAAGTACGAAGGACTGGGTAAAAAAGGGCCGAGAAGTTTCTCCGGCTCAAGAGAGATGAGGTTACTCTGGCCAAAAGAGATGAAGTTACTTCGGCTCAAGAATTGTAAAGCTACTTCGGTCCGGAAACAACTTGAAGTTAGACTGGTCTTGGAGTTATACCGGTCTTGGAGTTATACCGGTCGCGAATCGTTGGTTCGGTCCAAACATACCATGGGTTGAACAGGAGAGAACCGAGGTAAGGAGGAGTAAAGGGAGAACCGAACTAAGGATAGTTCGGCCTACTCTGTGGCTCAGCATAGCCAGTTTTACTTCGGTCAAAAATGGTAGTTCGGCCATGGTAAAAACCATCCCACTTGGTTTAAGCAGTGGGGGTGTAAAAGGATAAGCATTATCCTACAGGAGTATGAATCCTAGAAGGACTCTACATGGAGGAGCAGAAGTCCTACTAGGATTGTGCCACTCGAAACCTATAAAAGCTCACAAACATCACCTTGGAGGAGGTAACACAAAAAACACAACACACAATTTTGTTTTCTGAATACATTGAGCTTTGTCAAGTTTGCTGACTTAGGCATCGGAGAGATTTCCGGCACACACCCGCCGGCTAGCTCACGTTTGTGTTTTCAGGTGACAAAGCGACGTCGTACGGAGGAGCGCCGACTTAGTCAACAGGATTATACGAGGAGAATTATTTCTTTCTCGTACATTTTCTATTGATTTTCGTTTTCTTTTGTACCAAATATCAAAAAATATTTGTGTCCAAACAAACGGAACGTTACTTTTACAAAACTTTCTTATAGTGCTCTTAACTTTTACATGTGGGTAAACATTAATTTGTTATTGAGCCTCCAACAAATTCTCCTATGAGCATTCTCGGTGGACATGTTAGCTCCAAATTAGCGTAAGTTGTTAGCAGTTAGTGAATATCTATTACATTTATCTATGGAATTGTTAACGAAGTCAAGTGTTAAGTTAGATGTTATTTACAACCAGCCATTTAGTCCACCTTTATCGGCCTGAGAGGTAAAAATATTCATTTTTTAAAAAGCAATCCAAACTATATTTCAAAATTTACCGTTGTTTGTTCACAAATTAGTCTTGTTTCAATCTTGTTTGCTCTGCAACTTTGGAAAGATTTGTTATTACCTTTGTTGTTAATCCTCTTCCATAATAGAAATCAACTAAAAGTTTGTTTGGCATTCCTTAAATAAGTGCCCTTATTTAGATAAGTACATTTATTTAGGTTACATCACTTTTCTATTTTTTTGTACTTTTCTGTACTTATTTAGATTATCCCAAGTATTAATTTCTTAACTATTTAGGTGCTCATTCCTCTTTATAAAAAAAACAACTCAACTAAATTTATCCACCATATCTTACCCAAAAAAACAAAAAAAAAGACCAACGACGCTGATTTTTGATAAACTTTGTTAGTATCAACACTAAACTTTTTTATAAATTTTAAATTTTACTAGTGTCAATGTTAATTTTTGATAAGCTTTGCTAATATTGACACTAATTCTTGATAATTTTTGCTAGTGTTGACACTAACATTAGCATCGACACTAATTTTTTATAAGCTTTGTTAGTGTTGCCACTAATTCTTCATAAGCTTTGCTTCTTCTTTTTTTTCTTTTTATTTATTTATTATAATTTTGAACAACTTCGTAAGCTTTGCTAATGTTGACACTAGTGTCAACACTAATTTTTGATAAGTTTGCTAATGTTGACACTAAATTTTGGTAAACACTAATTTTTGATAAGTTTGCTAATGTTGACACTAAATTTTGGTAAGCTACTTTACCAGTGTAGACACTAATTTTGCTAATGCCAACACTAGTGTATCGACACTAAGTTTTGCTAGTGTCCACACATTTTGATAAGTTTTACTAATGTTACTAAATTTTGATAAACTAATTAATGAATTGTTCAATAGGTTGGTGGGGGTATAGTAGTTTCCTTGATGAGTAGTTAATTTGTCCATTGTAGAATGCACACACTCAAGTTGAATTAAAAAAAAAAAGAATGCACACACTCACTAAATTTAGCCACACATTTACAAGCTAAATGGGATCCACTTCTGATTTGCGTACACTTTAACCCACTCTTTTAGGTATCCCATCGAAAATTCTTATGTTTGGATCTACGATTTTTCAAAAGAATGTGGGAAAATGAAGATAAAAATAAATT